GACGAGGTCCAGGATGCAGGTATATCATCAACATATTGGACGCCAGCGCTCACACATCCGAAAAAGGGCTTCGCTACGGATATAGCTAGTTAATGTGACTTTAAGGTGACATTGCAGTTGCCAATCGAGTTGTCGGGGTTCGCACGACTTGTGCATATTCCCACTACATCCCCCAAGCAAGGCTAAGGCTAAATGATATAATGGACATGCCTAGCCAGCTGCAGGTGCATCTCGGGTGCAACGAGAGGCGGAACGCCATGCATGTATACACAATGAATTTAAACTGTATTTTGCAATTTTGGTAGTCTAGTAGACGTTTTCGAGATTTTCCTAAAATAAATAATTGTTTTTTTTATCTTCGAGCACATGTAGAAGACCTCCATGGATTACTAGTTATCCGAGATAATTTAGTAGCTGTTACAACAACCCGCGTTGTTATCATGACTCGCCCAACTTCATGCGAGACGGATAGCGGGCTGAAAGAAAGAGGCGCATTTTTTATAGGGGGAAATACTGTTGCAGATCTAGCCAGGGTCCGAGGGATTCACAATTCTGTTCGGAATCACCCATGGCAATAAGATAAACTTGTTCGCGAGAAGGGCCATGAACAAGGCTTCTGGATGCGAAAGGCAACAACATCCTTTTTCTCATTTATTGGCACAAACTAGCTAGCCGGCCAAGATACCCATTTTTTCCCCTTGAGAAAGTATGATGATAAAAGGTAAAGGTAACCCAGAAATACCATCTTTGCACACAGGCCAATTGGTTTTTTTATCCTAGCCTATCATATCGGAGGAATGGGTTTTGAAGAGAAAAAATAAAAATAAAGAATATACAATTGGGGTTGCGCTAAAAAGATCATACGATGAGAAACAATTATTGACACCCACCACACCCCCCTCGATCGAGCTCTCTGGGTGAAACTTTTTAAGCATACTTCTTTGCTAGTATGGCTAGCTAGTTTATATTCACAGTGCATACAATACACCATTTACTTTTGCAATGTACCCGTCGACCAACTTATATTAAAGCAATCAATACCACCCAGAAGTTCCTTCTGGGCGTTCCTGCTTTTTCTTCTTCTCTTTTGCTTCCCTCCTCCACGGCAACCCTCCAATCCAATAATTATACTACCAGTCTTTACCTTCCCTAGCCAGCCAGTGTACTTTCGACACACACCTACACCACCAACTCTTTCTTTTCAAATAGCAAGATTCGACACTCCTTGAAAATTGACTTGAATGGCTTCTTCGACCACCTGAAGCTTTTTCGTATTTGCGGGAGCCCGAGAGCGCCTGGGCCCTTGCATCTGCCGCTTTTCTCGATTGTGCGGCACACCATTCCGTTTTCGAGTCTACCACTACTCCCTTCAACACAAATAGGTTCATCTTAGTTTAGCCTCGAACGCGACATCGTCTTCTCTCTATCTGCATTCAGCTCTTTTAGAGATTGTTATCTAGTATATTTCTGGGCTAGCGCTTCTCTTGTTACCCTCTCAACTAAAGTCTCCTTGCTTCGACGTCAGTTAGTCCCGAGAAAGTTTACGAAAAACTTAGTAGATCTAGTTTTTGGGAGAATCCTTTCTCGGGTGGTTGGGTTGCGGAGCTTTTTTTTTTATATTCCGACCTCTTCCTTATCTTTACCATTTATCTACCTATTCCCTGGTTGTTGTTGTTATTGTTGTTGTTGGGATAAGAGGCTATTATCGATTGGTATCCTTGGGATAGCTGTTTGACAGGATGGCATTCCAGGATATGTCGGTTGGGGCGAAATATGCGTATGTTGCCTTGAATTTTGAGCTTCGCTAGTGGACTAGAGAGCTAACAAAACGGGGTTACAGCTTGATTGGAGGTATCGCGGTGTTGATTACACTGTTATTAGTCCTTGGGCGTTTCCTGTGGGCGAGAAGAAGGTAAGTCTTATACACCTCATTAAACCATAAATAAAAATCGCCTACTAACAATAACCATAAAAAAAGAAAACAGCAAAAGCTATGGCAATTCCGAGGCCTAGATGCGAACAAAAACATTGAAGCCGCAGCAGTGGTCGATGAAAAGAAACCAGCGGTCTCAAATAGTCTGCCTACGCTACCTCGCGGGGCTACTCAAGCACCCATAAGCGGGCCTGTAAGACCCAAAGACGACGAAGACCACAAAGAAGAATACAGCCGAACAGCGGGCCTGATGCCCCCTCCGGCTGTCCCAGCCGCTGTCACCAAAGTTTCACGACCACACCCATCAGAATTAACTCTAGGGACCGTAGCAACAGCACCAGCACGACTACACCCCTCCCGTGAACGGCAAGCTTCAGTACACAGTGAATTCAGCAACGTCCCTACCGAATTCAACATCGCCCAAAGGTCCCCTCGTCTCCTACCCCCCCAACAAGCAAGACACCGCAGAAACCACAGCGAAGACCTAACAGAAACCTACCTTCCAGTCCCAACCTCCACATCCCACCAACAGCCAAGGAGCATAACCCCTCCATCGCCATCAATCTACTCCCCTGGGATAGAGCGGGCCCCATCAACCCGTCTCCCACGAATAAATGATAATACCCTAACAAGCCCCCTAGACGGCGGCATTACAAGCCCCAGCGATGACGACCTTTACATCCGCGTTCCACGCCTCTACCAGCCCCCAAGTATGGCCTATGGCGAAGCAGACCTTCCATACTCCCCCCCACGTCGTAATAAACCGCACGGTGCCTACCAACCCGGCGGTTCACTACGTAGAAAACGATCAGTATCAATGCAAGATCATCCTTCTGCGATGTTACGTATGAACTCCAACGCCAGCGGAAGTAGTAGCGTTCGGAGAAAGAATAGTCGTCGAGGGCCGGGGGATAGATTATCCACCCAAAGTGAGTGGGTTGATACACTCACTGTTATTGACGACATGCATGAAGGAGATGAACCAGCTACGCCGAAAAGAATATTATCCCCGGCAACTCAGCGGCAGTTGTTAATGCCGCGGGGTAGCAGTAGGAGAGGCAGCGTCAAGAAGACCAAATCTTTAAAACATATTCCGAACCCAATACAGACGTCGAATCCGGCGAGTAACACCTCCTGGAATAATTCGATTATTGCGGAACAGGCGGCGGCTATCAAGTATAGCACGAAGAGGACCAGGAGTAAGTCACCACCGAAGGGCGGTAGGAAGGCTGATGCGTAGCGGACGCATATTTAGGAATTGAGTAAGCTAGAAGAGCTAGGTTTGGGAAGAATAAGATCATAGCGGTGCAGTTGGTGCTCGCTTGTTCCCTGTTTGTTGTTAATTATAATATATATCTACGTACACAGGGCTTTTATCACTATCATGTCTATTTTACTACGGCGTTAGGGAACATCTCTTTTATATGATATCCAAGACAAAAAATACTTAAAAAGACGCTCTACCTCCTGCTTCATCTTCTATCTGTGGGGTCTTTCGTGAAACCTCTGATTTGTGTTGGAATGTCGTATTTTGTCATACCCTTCCTAAAAGGGAAGTATCACACCCTGCCCGTGGTTCCGTGGCGATTCAATGGATGGCTGAACAAAAGGGTAAAAGGCTTAAAAGAGGCTGGAATTTGATGGTTAGAAAGACTCTAGAGCGCAAGAGACTCTTGAAAAACGCACCAAATTTTCCATAGTTTATATATACCCTCGATATGATCACTACTGCAAATCCAGCATATTCCGCAGCTCTGCTAAAAGCTTATAATATTCCCCTGCTTGTACGATTCTAATTTATTAGCTACTTGATATCTTCAAAGAAATGGAATTTAAAGAGTAGAAACCAATTTCAAATAGGATTAACATCAATTGAAACAAAACAGCATTTGAGTATGACTTTGGGTTGGCTGTTCCTACTACGTGCATCTTTATTCACATTGTTATGTTTCACCTGCTGCGACATCCCTTCCGCGGCCTATCAGTTACAACAGTCAGTACTCATGCATCAATCACAATTAATAACAGTAAATGTGTTTAATATTCCCTATAGCCAGTGTGGAGATCCAAATATCGAACGAAACCATAAATTCAAGCATGGATGTATAAACATATATACATCGAACCGCCCACTACGAGGTCTCATTAGTCTAGGTTATTTGCGCATGACCTTATTGCTTGAATAGTTTGGTACGGGGTTAATATTCAGCGCAGCGATAGCTCGGTGAGGATGTACTGTATTTTGGTACTTACTCCTCTTATGGAGCCCAGTACAACACCAAGTAATTCTCGCGAACCAATTCCACATCGAAATATCAGATACTTCGTGTCATATCACATTAGAAATCTTGGCTGCTCTCGTTCGCGGCCTGCGTCAGTCGCAGGGCCGAATAGAGCGTGGAGAGGTGTCGCAAAATCGTTCTCCCAAACTAGGCTTGAGTACCGTCATCAAAAACATCAGATATGTATATCGACGCCCGGTTGTGAGTTTTGCAATTTGTCCAATACAAATAAAAACTTGTTTTAGTAGAGTGGATGATGAGTGAAAACGGCTGATCTGGTGATCGCGTCTATCGACTATAACCATATTAAGGGACAAGGTATAAATGTGTGCTATGTAGAGGGGTTACCTTGATTTATGTAGGCATTTACTGACTGTGCATGTCTGGAAACACATTTCCAAATATTTGCAGGCTGATGGGTGGATGGTTCTAGAATAAATGTCCATATTTCTATTAAGGGATATTGTACTAAACCGGCCATCCTCGAGACCTTTGCAATCATCAATTCAGCACCATTATTCGAGGCTGCCTCCAGATGTATCCCCTGGTTTCCGGTACATTCTATAATTTGTGTTGATATGTTGTATTTGGTTTTCCAATGTAGCACCGAGGCTGTTTGAGCGTCCAAAAATGGAAGTGTCTATACATGTAACGCCAAGACGGGTAATCATCGACAGGTTACACATTTTCATGATTGATGTCAACTTAATGATCATCATTCTATGATGTCGCATTAAATTGAAGGTTTAAGGATTGGCCAGTTGTTTGTGTCTTCAACAAAGCAAGCGTTTGTGGTTTAGTGGTAAAATTGATCGTTGCCATGATTCGAATCTTCCAGATTCGGTCAGCGTATCGATCAGCCCCGGGTTCGATTCCCGGCGGACGCATTACTTTATCTTTTTGTCTTTTTTGCTCCTGTGATATTTTTTTGAACGCATTGGCGATATGGAGCCCGCTGTCGTGGGTTCAAAATTAGCCTGAAACACTGGGCGAAACAGGAATATCGGAGTGGTAACCACACTCTTTTTTCCTGACGCAAATACTGTAATTATTCAGTAGATGTACTTTTATATATCTGCAGATGTTGATGCTTGGGACTAAGAGGCATTCACCCTTCGTACTCTATCTGCGTACAAAACAAGTATATATTATAGATGGCCTGCATCTATCGCCACCCCGAAACTCCTAGTAGTTTAACTAACATATATGCCAGTGCCCATATATATAGTGATGCCGCTCGGTAAGAAAAATCACCAACGTCTAAACAATTGAATCTCCTCAGTAAAATACGCCATAAACGACCCCGGATAAATAACCCCCACAACTCCATCTGCGCTAAATGGATGAGTTCACACGGTGCGAATAATCTAATAAGGCCCAGAGCATAAAAAGATACCAAAGTCCTAGTGATTATGCAGCTCACTCCCATCCTGCCAGCTAGTGCAAAACGGGCATCGCTTAGCTTTCGCCGAAATATCCTTCCTGCAAGCAATACACTTCGTTTGATACTTGATTATAGCTTCGCTGGAGAACAAGGAGTAGAATTTGGCGAGGGTGTAGAGTGTAACACCGAGCAGCATGAATTGGATGAACTTTTCCAAGAAGTGCCTACACCTCCTTATTAGCTTTTCTAATGCGCCTAAAATGTTGGTACTTGGTTTCATGGCATAACAAACCCGTAATTCCAGGTAATTGCTCCATCGTCTTGAGCCTGCTGGAAGGTATTATAATGCGAAGTTGTATTATGTCCTTGCTTTAGAACTATAAAGTTCTCGGCCAGACTCTGTTGCCACATAAGAGATACCGGGGGTAAAATAATATCAGCGACGAGAGAATTCACAACGGATGTGAATGCAGATGCAACACTGTGTTGAGTCGGTTTGTCGGCGTCAGCGAGATACTCTTTTGTGACGTAACACAACAGACACAAAGTTCAGGGGGCTGGAGCGTATGGGTGTTTGATGTTTTGCAATTGATTGGTGTTCGGTAGGAGCATATGGTTGGCTTGGTTAGGGAGCTTACATGAGACCGACGGCGACTTCGAGAACATTGTCACGGAGGGCGAAGTCTGTTATGGGTGAATGGTCAGCGACGGGCTCGTCATCAATCAATCAGGCATGCATTATGAGATGGAACATACCTCGAAATCCAACCCAAACAGATGATACTCGGCGAACAGCATCTCGGCCGCGGTTGATAAGTGGTAAACTTTCGGAATCTGTACTGGACGGCATGGTGGGCGCTCGCTAGCACTGTGGAAAACGCTATTTGATGATGGGGTTTGAACTCTGAAGGTGATTTAAAGATCGGATGAAGTCCACGAGTTTTGGGGGGAAGCAATATGGGCGCTAAACCGGGTCCGAGTTTGCCAAGAATTCATTGAAGCATGCACCCTCCTGCAGCCAACAGCCGGGTGATGTCAAAAATAAAGCAAGCTGTGCTTCACATTAAGTATGGGGATGACAACACATAAAGATCTTGGTGTGGTAACTCCGCTATCTCAATCCTCTATGGACTACAATACCTACAGCTTTATAGCAATACTGGTCTCGAGCAATACTTGAATAAGCTAGCTTGCATGTTAGTAACCTAAATTTGCTTCGTCTGCTACTGGAATGGCTGGTATTAGCGCTTGGAGCCCAACTCAGAAAGGTACCTGATCGATTGATTGGTCTCGTTTGGTCTCATTAGTAAACCGACAATACAAAGTTGAAATCTCGTTGGTGGCACGGCAATTAACATGCGTTGTTGTGACAAAGAACGCAACACATGACAGGAATGTCAAACACTGGTCTTGCGCGCTAATCAAAGAACAGCCTTGTCTGCAAAAGATTACCGAAATAAAGTTAAAAAAAAAAAAAAAAAAAAAAAAAAAGGTATTGGAAATCTTTTTCATGACCATCGAAGGTGATTGGTGGCATTATAGCTACAGCATAATAGACCAGAAGAGTAATTCTAGGCTTCAAAAGTTTCAAAAAAAACTTTTAGCTACTCTTTGTTGAAGCGTGTCATCCTTAGTGCAGGGGCCATGCTAATCTTCTCTGTATCGCTGTTTGAAAGAAAGTATGTTAGTGGTGAGGTTCGAACGCAGGGTGTTTTGGCAGGGAGAAAATCTTACTTTCAAATTGACCATGTGACCCGAAGGTCAAAAATCTAAACAGTTACTTGAGGGATATAATCTTGAAATAGATTCCGGATCTGGAAATATCACACAGCAACACATTAGCCCTTACACATTTCATTAGAAATCTAGGGCGCCGGCATAGGCACCTATTAGAGAGGAGCCCGGAATAGCAGCTTTGGCAGAAGGCCTGTACGTTTCCAGTTCACACCCAATCTGTGAGGTGTGCTGTTCGGTGTATACGTCTACAGGATCTGTTCACTTATACTAATAAACTACTTTGATAGAAAACCCGGGCATCACTAAATTGAGATCTGTAAGCACACTTCGCATGTATACAATTCCTTGGCCAATTCCATAATTTCAGCATATGCCGAGTATACAGGTGGGTATTAAGATTATGAAAAATATCCGTCTGTGCACTGTAGCGAAACATTCCTTCACACAAGGACCGATTTTATCAAGACTTAATTAAACGATATTACTATGCGGTTGAACGGTAGTACTACTTAAAGCAAATATCCTCCAGACAGGATTTGAGCATGCCCTGTGGGCTCTGTTAAGCCTAGCATGGCCCTCAGAGAATCGACACAACTTCCACTGAAACTTGAGTGTATAGGATAAATATTTATTCTACTTATTCATCTCTGGGTTTGGAACGCTTTCATAATCTGGGCCTTCTAGGGGTAGGCCAGCTGGAGGACCACCACGCCACATCCATTGGTACTTTTCCTGCCCTTCAAACCATTCCGCAGATTCCTTCCAGTATTCTATTTCAGTTTGGTTTAAATATTTGAGTTCCCTCAGTAAGAAAGCTGACCATGGTAAATCGCATCGGAAGCTTCTTATTTTTTGTTGAAGCCCGGCGCCTTGAAACTGCTTAACCTCTCTCGTTCCCCGATTCCCATCAGTTATCAGCCGCTTCTTGCACTCGCTGTCGGTGTAGAAGTGGCAGGTACACATAGATACGACCCAAGATCGCATCGATAAGCCCTCTACCCCGTCAATGGTGATGGCCGTACACTTGCCCTGTCCAGTTACAGGGGATATGTCTTTATGTTTTAGCTCGGCGCTGAATTTTACTGTCTGGTTAACTCCATCCCATTCGTTGTAGCGCTTTTCATCATCACCTCCGTTGGATATATTTATCGAACAGCCAGAGAAATCGTGAAACCCAATATTTTCGGCACAGCCGAAGCTATATGCGGGGTCTGGGGAAGGGATTCCAATTTCTGGTGGCGTCTCGGTCAAAAATCGGTTTTGTACATCGAACAATCGCCTGCCACAATTTTCGTCTGCGTAGAATACACAAGTGCAATATCCCTGAACAAACAGCGCTTTGATATCTGGCTTGGAACTCGGCATCCAAGGAGCCACACTTTTGAGCTTGTAACATCTCCCATAGAGAGTAGGGTCATGTGGGTGGAGCTCGGATAAGCTTAGTGGAGTAGTCTCTATGAACACTGCTACATGGATGGCCCAAAAATCCACTTTATGTCCATAGAAACCGACACGACAGGTGGGCATTGTTCTCGCAAATTTCCACCTGTGGCCCTCTGGTATCGCTGGCAACCATCCCTCAGGTGACGGTCCTTCAGTTGGATTTACTCGTATATGGACCTCGTTGTTTAGCTCGGGGGTTGGGTGACCACGTGGGATGGCATTACTTAAATAAATAGTAAACATGGCCCAGGTCAACAAAGTCGTAGCAGAGGGTGAGTGCAACTTGATCCTCATTTTTGTGGCCCTATTGCAAGAGGTAAAACTAGGTGGTTCTTAAGATTCGCGATGGGAGGTGCCTCGGCCAAGCTTAAGTATCCTTGTAAGATTGATAAGTTGTGATATGGTAGCAGTGTAGGTAGGTAGGTAGATGCTAATAAGGCGGTTGCTATGCCTCCAGGGAGACCTACTTATAGGTCTTATGTCAATATTAATATTGCGGGCCTAGCGCGCAGCTAGGTTGTATAGGGTGTACAGAACCATAATATATATATTGCGCACTGTTAGGTAGCTGCACATCGACTACCAGCTAACCGGATCGAGAGTCCTGCAACTTATGATAGTAGATACGAAACTAGTAGCAAAGTAGCACTTCATGGTCTACGAGACGATTGGTTTCTTAACACGTTTAAAACACCTATTTAGTTGTAGGCTGCTATACGATACTTGCAGGAGTTTGGGTTTGTGGAATGGCATATACAATACCGTCCATTAGCCGAGTCGAATGGACTAGACCACGGATAAAGTTGCAAGTTGAAGGAGGCAATGGCGCATAATAGAATATCCCCGTAGCCCCGTGCTCCAATAAGTGCAACTGTAACATTGGGCATTTAGAACTGCGTGTAAAACAACCCATAATTAAAATAATGGCTGTTTCCTGCGTCTGTAAATCAAAGTCACAAACTCTATAGAGAAAATTTAAAATTTCGGTCCCATAAACGCATTGAAGAATACTTATGAGAGATTCTGAGCGGACTTAACAAAGTCATTAGTACTGCTTTGCATGTTGGTTCATTTGTATGCATATACCGAGACTACAAGTACCTCGTAGGGCAACACAGAAAAACAAGACCAGTTTTTGTTATATTTTTTCCAACCCAATGCTAATTGAAACACCAGCCTGAAGCACGTTAGGTATAATACACCCACCACGCCGCCCAAAATGTCAAAACCAAATATCAAAGGAACTGTAACATCGGTTGAGCCCCTCAATACCACCGATGCAAACTGGGTTAGGCTTGTCAAGTATGTCCCACGAACTTTCAG